ATTTTCAGTACAAATCGGCAATTTCATACTTTAACCCCTATTATTTGACTCATGCCCATGCCTAAAGATGCCCGAATCTCATGATATGTCACATGCCTGACTATTTTGAACATACGGCGCACAGCATCGATGTTTTTGTTAATCACAGCAGTGGACGGGCGACCGTCACGAAATTGGTCACTGAAATTTGAATTCTGCAAACCAGCTATAAATAGTCGTCTTGCATTGTGCTTCATCGCCAAAAGCAGTTTGAAGCGGAGGGAAGCTCCGCTCAACTGTTCCATTACACTTAAAGTCGTAGAAAATCATACTACGAACATTTTCTCAAGTTAAATACATGGTGATGTAGACAACCAATTTCTAGAACATTGTCACAATGTGAAAACAAGTGACAGTCACATGAAACAAACTATATTCTACACCCAAAGAGTTCCATTTTCAAATGTTGTAATTACTTTTTAAATGTTGTATGTAAGTGGCCAGTTCCGGAAACTTATATTGCGCCCTATGTAGAAGCGAATATTCAATAGAATATTCATTTCTGCCCCCGACTTCATATCAGTTATATGATAATAATCATACAACTGATATGAAGTCGTAGTCTGAACCCCGATCTGATATGAACGCCGACTTCGTGATATGAAGTCGGGGTCGCCGGTTGCCGCAACCGCATTTTGTATGAAAATAGAATATTCACTTCCAGTTGGTCGTTTGCGCGATGCCTAGGAGTTAAGTCAACAAGTTATTGGTGAAAGTCGACATAATGTATTATGTAGGTATAAATGACACAGATTGTGCATAACTTACTAATTGCAGCCATTTTATTAAAGTGTTTCGAAATTTATCCAAAGTATGTTTTGATAATATTTTAAGGTTCCATTAGCTATATTGTAATAATAATAATTGGATTGAAGGTTGTTAACAAAACCAAAAAGTTATAAGCCTATTTATTGGTTAGTCTGAATAAAAACAAAATGATACGTATTCACATATTTCTCACCTGTTGGAATATTTGTGATTGTAATATTTTCCTAAGGAATGGTTGCATATTTTTTCTAGTCCTAACAAAAGCCTCTGGGTTGAAGGTGATCGTCTGACCTTTTTCGATTCTTGAACAAAACAAAAGCGACAATAAAAACCATCTCTCATGAATAAATAGGGATGTAATGCTGCAAATTGTCAAGCACAAAAACGAACTTGACAAATTTATTATATCCAGGCAACATATGAGATATTAACATAATATGGTACACAATAATTAAACCAAAATATGTAGCTAAAAATAGAGTCAAGACAAAAACACCATTCCGCAAAATTTTGAACAAAAACAAAACTAAAAGTGCCGCCAAAATTTTTAACAAGAGGGTTCCAGAAAACATTGTACAGTGGATCTTCCGCCTTTCTCAACTTCAACTGTTATTTTCGCCTAAACATTTGCAACATTTGAGATCTCTACTAATAGCTACAGATATGAAATAGCACTTAAACAACATGATAATAGCGAGTAAAATATATGTGGTTAACTCTTTTTATGAGGTCTAGTTTTGTACATGAACAGGCATTCTCTATTTTCTAACCTTGCCATGTTGCCTTCAGAGAAGCGCTTTATCATAGCTTTGTGAGAAGTTTTCACGGAAGACCTTAACAACGTCAACGTCATTCTTGATCTGTTTAATGTTTAACAAAAAATTATTCAACTGCATGTCATTTTTAAAACCAAGCAAAGTAAAAGCAATGGCTACGAACAAAATTGTATAACCAATACATACACGGTAAAGAAAAGTCATTAATTAAATAATTGGTAGTAATATAGATGGCATATATGGCCTAGACGAAACCTGGCGGAATGCGCGCTTTATTTCCATTTTAAATGTCATTCAACAATTCTAGGCGGGCTACGCGATGCCACACGTTGAAGCATAGTGGAATAAAATAAGTAGGCTAACTCCGTAGAAAATAACAGCGCGGTTTGTATGTGTGTGCGCCCGTTGTGTGCCGTGTACAGATGCGCGCTGGTCTCAAACTAGGGAGTTCCCTGTACTATTGAGTACCAAGGCAACGAAATTCACTCCGGCGCACTACCTGGAGCGCCCAGACCAGAACTGATTTATAAAAGTTCATTCACAAATCGGTCCTACCGGGAATCGATAACCGTCGTTAGGTTTGTTTATACGTGATTTAATCTTAACATGGTGCATTTTGTAACAATTAATGTAATGTAGATGTACATTTAAGACAACTCCGCAGACAAATTCTTAAGCGCACAATTTTTGAACGACCGAACGTAATTCTAATCGCATACTTTGACCGTTTGCACTCCGCTAGTTTTGCCCCAGACCACTAGCATGCTATGTTGGAATATTACCATTGACAACATTACAATTATTCAGTATAAAAAGAACATTAATTTACCTAATAGCATCACGATAACCACCTATTAAACATACTAGTGCACGTAGAAACGCCCTCGATACTGCGTCGCCTAGTGCATTTTTATCACTTAAAGCTTTTTTCAAACTCGCCACCTAAAAAGTGAAAAAAAAAAAGTATCAGAAATAGAAAAGTACTGCAATATAAACTTAAGAGAATGGGATATTATTTAAGCGGGTATTCACGGTCAGTCCATTGCGTGAAACGGCGTGATATATAGCCATAATGCCATCACGAGTGTCAAATGTTTAATCCAAAATTTTGCGCGATGACAATCCGTGGATTGTCATCGCGCAAAATTCCGCACAGCTTCACGCAATTTACCCTTGAGTGTGGAAATCCTGTGCACTAGCACCAAAGCCTTGTCATAAACAACGCATTTGCATCTTGATAACTTTCCGAAATATTGGCACCTAGTTTTTTTTTCTTTAAAAAATTTACTACGCTGACTTTGTTTAATAATAAAACTGAAATTAAATTAGATATTAAATAGTCGCTTAAAATGTGTTGTAGATTTCAGATATGTTAATAAACAATTTCGCTAAAAATGTCGATTAAGTAGTTTATGAGGACGGCAGTATAAAGTAACTAGAATGGACATTGTCCGCCCCTCCGTAGCTTTAGATACCGCACCACGCCCTGCACATTGACCGCCACATTGACTGAACGGCGACAAGGCTGTCGGCGAGCCAATTTCGCGCTAAGACGGCTTTGGTATTTGAATACACTTTTCATATATTCATTACAAAAATTGTACGTTAATATATAACATCATTGAACGTTACTATTTATAATAGTCGTGAGTCTTGATGTGTACGGCTGTTTATCGTCATCTAAACGGGATAAAGAGAGTTGCTTTCGTTTTCCAAAAGATAAAGCAAGGTAAGTAAAGAAACTTGTGTCTGAGGGTCGTATACTAGAACTCTACTCAATGCTCAAGTCAGGGTTGCACTGGAAACACAAGCACTGGAAATACGACCCTAATGGCAGGGACTTGAGTACGATTTCGAGTGCTTTAAACCATACTCAAATCCTGACTTGAGCATTGAGTATAGTTCTAGAATACGATCCTTAGACTCATTCAGTTATTGTTTTCTTCATTTATTTAGTGCAGAGTAATATATGTATAATACAGATTTATTATATCAGTATGAGATGTAATATAGTAGACAAGGGTTCTGGAATTTTCAATTTGTATTGCCGATAAACATGTAGTGAATATAATTATTAACTAAGTAATGATAAATTGTATATTGATATAAATCGCTAATGAACATGGGCAATTATTAGGATTCTATGAATAGAATTATAGACAACAGACTCGCGTTAGAATTTTCGCTATGTTCCCGCTCTGATCACGCACACATTTGTGCGTGTGCAGATAGCGCCTTGCTGTGTCTAGTAGTAGTAGTAGGTAAATAACTTTCGACCGTTGTATGGAGTGTCAGGGGTGTGGTATGGTATCACGCCGCGCAGCTCGTGAATGTGCGAACTCAGACCCGTCGATCGAGAAATGAAAGATATTGGAGTGAAGCTGCGAGAAGCCTTAAGATGCGTCCATCCATTCGACTTCAGGCGATCGTAGTCACGCCAAATGGGGTGATCGTGAATACAAAGCTTTATATTGCAATATTTTTAATAAAATAGAACACTTACCAAATCAGGAGGAAGACTGTCTAGATCATTAAAAGGTGATTTAAGTTCATTTTCATCTACATCTAATATAACAACATCCCCAATTTCTGACATTCTTACAGTCTGAAAACAAATTCAAGTCATTGTCGCAATGATAAACTATATTATAGTGCTTCTTATAAGAAAGCAACATCTTATGTTATGCAACTAGAGTTACTTCGTTGCTTCCTTAGTTACAAAACAGATACAGTATATATAAGCTATATTACAGAATTAATATTATTAGAGTGTACCTCCATCACCGTTCTAGGAACTCCAATAAGAAATGGCATAGGTGCGAGAAGATAGTCTACAAGGTGCTTTGGTAGTATCGGTATGAATATGTGTTGCCATGACATAGGGAAGAGAGTAGCATTTGCAGCCTGTACGCAAGCAGACAACCGGGAAGGTTTTGATGCCACTACGGCCACCCGTCGTTCATGGAGCAACGCAGCCCAAAGTCCTGCCATACATTTCGTGTCCATTGCACTGAAGTATTCTGTCAGATTACACTGTAAACAGAAAATGTAGAATAATATACTAATATTTCAATATAAACATATTGTTTTTTGCAAAGAAGTAAACACAAAGAAATATACTAACATTTTCAGGAATACTAGGAAGTTTACTGTCAGGACACTGGCAAGAGAATACGCTTTGGCCTGCATTGTATGTGACTTTTAGAGTGTGACCAGGCATAGGTGGTCTGATACGACATGCTTCCAGCAGAGACGTGAGCTGCTCTCTTTCGGCACTGTTCACTAGATTCGCTATACAATTTAGGAGTCTGAAATAAAACGGGAAGATATAACTCAAGGAAACTTCTGTGACAAAAGCAATAAATATGCACATGCAAAATAATCAGAAACCATTGGCTGTTCAACTCCACAAATTGGTTCAAATTCGAAGACATTAATTATTTCAATTGAGTGCATCACAAATGCGTGTGCCTAGATTTTACTAAGTATTACACCATAATTTAAAGCAACATCAACGTGATTCATATAATAAATAATTGGCAATGCTTTCATATTGTTCTAAATATTTCGCAATGGCAAATTGGTTTAAAACAATATTTACGGTTATTTTTTATGAAGTTTCCCTTAAGATTTATTAATCTAATACAAAGTTGGGTAAGAAGCATTGATATGCATGCGTTAGACCAATTACGAATTCGCAGATTTAACCTTAAAGACATATCACCAAATTCGCATATTCATCAAATCGCTGTGCGGGATTTCAATCGGAATGTCACTTTGCATTATGTTGGTCAAGGTAGTTTCGAGTCGTATCAATTTTCAAAGTAATACTACAAATGGATATGCATAGGTCTAAAAGACAGAACAGATCATGCTATATCATTGATGTAGAACTTCTCGAATTACAACAGGAGGATTAACTTATAGTTCAATGCAATCTAAGAATTTGATGCAAATTCCTGTGTGCACTAAATTAATGAACGCGGGATTAACAATTTTGACATTGCAATTATAAAAAAATTATGAGTAAATATAGTACAAATAAGATTCTTAAAAAACTTACTTGTAAAATTGATCGTGCCATGGCAAATGTGAGAGCAACACCAGAGACGTGTTTGCCTTTGGATCGTATCGACAAAAACCAAATGTGTATTTGGAATCTACTGATGTTAACACAAAAGAGTAGTGTTGAACAAAGGTGCTGAAAAAAAAAAATGCAAGATAAACTATGACTTATCTATTTGTCACAACTTTTATAGTTGGCTTTCTATAACTCTGAAAAAGATTCCTTCTATTTTATCTATGTAATACTCTGTGTGTTACAAAGTTTTGGAAAAGTATTCATCATCATAAGTCATGTGAAAATCACACGATCTCATAGATTAAAAACGATTCTAGAATACCATGGTTGTTCTTTGAAATGAACAATTTCTATCATTGACCCAAAGAAAAATCAAAGGGCTTAGGAAAGGTTATTTAAGTACAACATTATAATGTTGTACTTAAACATCATATGTAGCATCGTAATACATATCTTCAATTGTATTATTTATATTAATAGACTATGTGAAATATTTAATTTACTCTTATAATTTTTGTCAAACGGATAACATATTTATAAACAACAAGATTGACAGAAGTAAAGAATATATCAAATGTTTTGTCATGGCCACCTATTGTCCTCATTGATGATAAGACAATGCCATGTCATACATTACAAATGTTTGTGCAGTTGCCATTTAAACCAAAATAAACTTATCATTACTAATTATTAATAAAAATTAGTAGGAAAGCCATTGTTTTTAAATATTCTTTAAACATTTAATTTGTATTTTATTTATAAACTAATAAGCATTAAGTTTCAACAGAAAATAATACTAGCAATAATGTACATTTGTATTATATTTGACATTTTAGCCACTGAAATTACAAATTTCAAAGTGTTAACTGCACTTTAGACCTATAATATAGCAAGGATCGCTGTAATTTTTAGAATGTTTTATTATAACTGCCTGGACATTAGCAGATATGTCCTCAGTGGAACAGAAGCCTCAAAATAAGATAAGACCTATAATAGTTTTATATGTAAATAGTTGGTGCCATACCGTGTAAGGATGTTTGCATTGTTTTGGATATGTACTGTTCTATAAATGCGTTTAGTAATTGTTTAATATTCCCGCACAAAAACATGACATGTCAAAAATTTAATCATTTATTATAAATCTATTCTATGTCCAATTAATACATTGATTAGAATTGTACTCAGCGACATATTAGTACTAAGTAGTGACATTTTTAATTTCATAGTCTACTACGAAATTTTCATCTATTAAGATGTTTCACACAGCCGTTCATATTTTTCGTTGAATTGAATGCAAGAGTCCTAGATACGCCCCTATACACGGAATTACAGAAACTACACTATTTATATATGACAAACATTACACGTTATGTCGATTTAGAAAGTATTCAAAGTAAATAATTAATGTTAATATAAAATATAATTTCAGTACAGAGTACTAAAGAACCCGATCTCAAAAGTATGTGGAATTACGTCTATTTGCTAAGTTTTATTGCAATATCCTTAAATTCGCCACTATACAGGACTTGACATTGGAGATAATAAAAATCGGTTCTCACTACTCAAAGAATGTTAAGAGAAAAATGCCTTGAATTGGAGAAATAGCAAAATCAACCATTAAAATAATTGCTCCTTAAGAAAATTTAGGTGCTATTTATAAAAATGAATCTTCAGGTGAGATCAGCCACCTTTAGATGTGGATGATTTCCTTCAAACTGAAATGAGACCACTATGGAAGTACCCCCTTTCCAAAAAAAAAAGAATCATAAAAATCGGTTCACAAATACCAGAGTTATAGCGTAACATACATACAAAAAAACAGTCGAATTGAAAACCTCCTCCTTTTTTGAAGTCGTCGGTTACAAAATGTAATACTCACTTCTCTAATTGGCAAGGAAATGTGAATTTGGGCACATTTTTCAACTCCTCTTCATTTTTGTACAGCTCTGGATATTTTCTTATCAAATATGGGTCCTTGGTATGATCTCCAGGTGCCACTTCACAAAATAATTCAAACAAGTATCGTACAGTGTCTCTAAAATGAGGCAAATGGAAAAAATATCATTTACTCCACATTGTAATATTAGCATCTTAACAGTAATTCCTATGGCGTTTCATTATTAACTTATTGTTAATATAAATAATCAATCCCCTCAAACGATAGGCATTCTAAAGATGTTTTTGAGTATTAGAAGCCCAATTATTGTTTAACATGTGAGATATGGATAGTAGATATATATAATGATAAGTTGAAGTTTTAAAAATAATAAACTCTCCCATGTGTAGCTGTGTTCTGGCATGCAGATGTGAAACTTGTCATGTGGGCGGTATACACATCACAGGAAATGATAGTGATGGCACTAATGAAAAGCTTATCTATTTCAAGTCAAAAGGAACAACACCAGACCATATGAACACAATCATTTAGCAAATAAAAGTAAAAAAAAAACAAGATGGAGTTGCTAAATCATCAATTTCCTGCATAACATTAAGGTTAGACAATTCACAATATATATGTATAGGACACACTTGGAGAAACAAATTACAATCAATTCCTGTATCGACTCGTAGAAAGTGATGCTCGGCTAGGGAATCAAAAAATTACCTCAATCTGGAACCCATGTCTCGACGTGCTTTTAGAAATTTTTATTTAAAACCTCACATGTTACTGATATTATGTAAATTTATTGCAGAAGTCACTCATCATGAAACATCACAAGCCATAGAACACTACTTTTCGCTTGCAACAAACATATTTTGATGATTTTTCTTCACTATTTCCAAATTATTACGAAAGACGATGTTATTGAGTTAGTCAAACTTGGGGATACCATATCCACGTAAAACGTTTCTACTATTTACGATTTCTACTATTTAAAGATCAACTACATTTGGCCCCTTTTACCACTTAATATTTAAATTCATATAGACACGCGTAAGGAACGAGAACTCGTATAAAAATTAACATCGTTAGAGATGTCGATTCCCTACCGGAACGCTGCTGGACTCTATTTTTGTTTTATTCACAATTTTATATATTGCGCGCTTAATTTTCTTATTTTGATTTTACCTCTAAATAAACGAATACCCTAATATGCTAAACCCTATGACCAAAATATTTTAACCCAAAATGTTATTTCGGTAACAGTAAAAATCTGCGCCTCTACCACGAACCGCTCAGCTCGAATTACTTCTCATTTTGTATGATAAATTATACAGCGCCCCTAGCGGTCACCTGAAGAATCAACATTTTGTATACCAACATTTCCGCAGTCGCTAGCGATACCTGTCACTGTAATCTCATGGTAGAGGCACTGTACTAAGGTACTCGGCGATGCAAATCGAGGTCAAAAATGGAAATGGGTCGATTTCACTTTCGGTATTAAAATAGCACTTTAAGAATGCTTTTTATAAAACCCTATTTTCTTTCGGTTTTAAAGTTTTACCTAAACGTACGTATAAGTAGAAATGAAGTCAATAAGTAATTAATTATAATTCACACAAATATTTAAATGAACTCTCTATGTTTTTGACTAAATGAATGAGTGTGCGGTAACACGAATGATTTTCTCATTAACCCAAATGGAACAAAACAATACCAAGTGATGGGACGAACAAGTCATGCGCCTGGTGGGAAGCGACACGCCTATCCATAACAGTTGCAATGCCACTCAGAGCTTTAAATCGCAAAGATCTTAGGGGCACTGCCACTGCGCTCATTACCCTGAGACATGACAAGTCCCATGTGCCTGTAATTTCACCAGCACCGTTACTCTTCCAAACCGGTATGCAGTAATGCTCACATTACTGCTTGGCGGCGGAAATAGGTAAGTCATCGAGTATATAACCAGAAATAGAGACTGAAAGGTCTCACATGCCCTTCCTCACGGAGACCCAAATTAGATGTCCTTCGGACGAGGCGTATCTGCATTATCCAGGTTACATTATGGAGCACAAAAATTGAAGCAGCGCGCTGGTATCTGCGCTTACGTTCGTGATGACATCTGTTCTAAACGTCTTCGTGACCTCGAAGACCCCGATCTCTCTGTAATGTGGGTTCTGGTGGACACTGGAACTGGAACAAATTGTCTACGCCAGTGTGTACCGGTCGCATACTGGAGACCCGGAGACGACTAAGCAGTTCAACTATCTCTACAGCTCGACGGAAACAGTCCAACAACGGTATCTTTAAGCGCAACTTGTCTTTTTGGGGGACTTTAATACCCATCACCAGGAATGGTTGTTCCCTTACCAAAAAACCGATAAAATAGTAAAGCCTGTAATAAAGCCGCTAGATCCTGCTAAAACGCGATACGGAAACCTCGCTTGGGTAGAGATGATAGAGACTCAGTCTTTTAAGGCCTTTTAAAAAACCTCGACTAATTTTTAACGCCTCACGACTAGTCTAGTCTTTTAACCCTCAAGGTCAGTCATAAAACTAAAACTGAAGACTAATTCGAGTCGAAGTCTTTTAATCCTAGGAAGCTTAAAAGACTTATAGGACTGGCGCCTCATAGCTTCGAGAGTCGCGAGCCTTAACCGTATGGCGTGAATTTATTTCTACCCACAAGGTATTTATTTTACGCTTTTTATCATAAGTAAATAAACGTGATTATTTATTACATAGTACTTACCTACGTCATTTTTATTTATAAACTTCGGGTTTAATAAGACATGAAATAGGTATAAGCCCTTTGCAAGTAACTCGATCGAGTCGTTTAAGTCTTTCAAGTCGTTTAAGTCTTTTAGTCTAACGACTCAGTCTTATTAATAAAAACTTGAACCCCCAGTCTTAATTTTAGAGTTGAGTCCTGTAAAATGGAGTTGAGTCGTTGTAAAACGCCTTAAAAGACCGAGTCTCTTTCATTACTACCGAAGCGAGGTGCTTCCTGCGGAACTGTGCACCCGAGTTGTCTCCGGTGTTACTCGCCTGTATCGCCTCTCTATGAGTTCTGGACAAGTCCCGAAAACCTGGAAGCTTGCATGTACAGCCTGTACCTAAGAAAGGTGGTGATGCCAATCCATCTAATTATCGACCTATCGCAATAACCTTCATACTCTGTAAGACTATGGAGCGTGTAATGAAAAGCCGTCTCCTTGGATACCTCGAAGATAACGATCTTCTCAGTGATGGACAATATGGTTTCGTCGTGGTCAATCCACTGGAGATCTTCTCGCGTATATAAGGCGAGGCTACCTAAAAACGCAGTGAATCGCTTGCCGTGTCTCTCGGCATATCAATTTGATAGGGTTTGGCCTGATAGTCTGTTAAACACGCTTCCAGCTTACGGAATTCCTGTTGGCTTTTGTACATGGACAGGCGATTTTCTGAAGGATTGGTCAATCCGTGTAATTGTAGATGGTTACTCGTCTGTTTCTCATATAAATGCCAATGTACCTCAGGGATCTGTCCTCTCCGCCACTCTATTTCTGCATATCAACGACCTGCTACTGATGCCCAGTATCTTTGGGTACACAGACGACAGCACAGTAGTAGAGAGTTATGTGCCAGATGCCCGAGACAACAGCAAAGAGATCCGGTGTAAACGAGAGGCGATGGTCACTCGGTTGAACCTGAACCTGAAAGCGGCTTCCGACTGGGGAGATGCGAACAGGGTCAGGTTTAATGCGGCTAAAACACAGCCGTGTCTTTTCACATCAAAACGGAGTCTCCTACATCTTACTCCGTCTTTCCGAGACGTATCCGTGCCGATAAGAGACCTTCTTGAGCTACTGGGTCTGGACTTATTCATATTCATATTCTTTATTTGCAAGTTACTTGGTTAAGTTATGGTTGGTATAACAGGTGTTCTTATGCTAATGGTACTTGACATGTAACACCCCTTGGGGGCACTGCAACATTCTGAGGGCACTATATCCTTACTTTAGTAAAACATACATATTATTTAAATAAAATTAAGAACTATTAATAACAAAAAAAAAAAACTAAACAGAATTTTATGCAATATCAACAATAAATATTATTAATTCCTTTTACATTTAGGTCTCATTCCTGATACACTTATGTCTGTCTATTTGACATACTTTACAAATTATAAACTTGGTAATTCGTTTTTAAGCACTATTTTCTAAAAAGTATTCTTTAAGTGAATAAAAAGCTTTGCTCTGTAGATAGCTCTTTAGATGGGTTACAAAGGCCTTATGTGTATCCTGTTTTTATATTTATTGGGATCGCATTATACATATATTTTAATTACAATAAAGTGGGGCCCTGAATGGTATATACCTAGAGTACTGAAAGGACGCTTCAACATGTGTAAACCTCATCCAACCTCAACTTTGAGCGATACATCAAGTGCTTGGAAAAAACTGCTGCCAGAAAACTAGGCATACTTTACAAGGTCTGGCGGTACTTCACACCTGAACAGCTTTTAAATCTGTACAAAGCACAAGTTCGATCGTGTCCATACACGATCGAATTTGTGCTACTGCTGCCAACTTTGGGACGACTCTGCCTATTACCAGTTATCTGCCTTGGACTCGGTGGAGCCAAAAGCAAAGAGACTTATCAACAACAATTCTCTTGTAGAGTCGAAGCTTCAAAATCTCGATCATCGCAGAAAAGTAGCCTGCTTGTCGGTTTTCTATCGGATACGTTTCGAGGAGTGCGCAGGAACTTTTCAATTTAGTTCCACTCACCGTTCCTCGTTGATATTCCACCTATTCGCACTAAGCACTTTGCTTCCTCCTTTCTGATGCGTACGGCAAAGGAATGGAATACTCTACCGGCACTGTATTTCCTAAGGCTAGAGTAAATAGGCATTTTTTAGGCAAACGCGTCCCATCGTCGCTTAACATCAGGTGAGATTGTGGGCCAAGCGTGTGTCTATTATATGTATATTAAAAAAAATAAGGTAGGCGTCTTTCCCACTGACGACAATTCTGCCAGTGTCCGGGTAGTTTTAATAAAATATTCTAAAAATTATGGCGATCATCGCTAAGGTGCAGGTCAGTTTTCAATGGTGAAAATAGCACATTATTATTACAGTAAAGTAAAATATCAGATATAATGTACATTATTGCCGGTATTATTTTCTGTTGAATCTTAATGCTTATTTGTTTGTCATTATAACACAAATTAAATGGTCTAAGAATGTTTGAAAACAACGCCTTTCCTACTAATTCTGCGGTGGTTGGGATTTTGAAGCTTCGATTTCACAAGGGAGTCGTTGCTTATAAAGTAAGCAGTGCTGTATGCATGAACAAATTTACTTATCGATTTATTTATTAAGAACGTTTATGCTATGAAGATTTGGTATGACAATGTATATGGGTGCCTGAGTTTTTGACACCAGTTTTCACAAAAAACTCGAAGTACTAGCCAAAGTTGAGTTTCGATGATAAATTGATAAATCTAAACTAAGTGTCTCAAAGTAACCTTAGAAAAATGTTGGAAAGTCGCTATGCTCGCTATATTTAAATGCCTTCGTAGCCGAACGGATACCATGTCGGACTGCCACGCAGAGGTCCCAGGTTCGATTGCCGGGCCGGGAGAAATAGTTGTATGACCTACAATTATTTCTCTCGTGACTTTGGGTGTAATTTGTGGTTGTCTATGTGTGTGTCCATGGCACCCGCGACACAGGGTTTCCCTAGTGCGGGGCTATGTTGAGTGTGTGCGTTATTGATTAATATTTATTTATGGGGATCTGATGCATAATTGGCCACCACTGTGCTGTCATCTGCATATTCAAAGATATTGGGCATCAACATTAAACCATGCATGTATAGTAAGAATAGAGTAACTGAGAGGACAGATCCCTGATGTGCACAAGTATATTGATTGACTCGTCCGTCAGAAAA